TTCCCTCCCTCCCTTTGTCGCGGCTCTAACTGTATTGGGGTAATGTCCCCCCACAGATGTGGGCAGATGCTGTTTATGGAGGTACCTGTTGGTTGGTATGGTACTTGGTGCTCGAATCCTGAAAGGCTGAGCAGGTAGTTTAGTCAAAGCTTTAATGGTAGTATTGGTCTGTGAGTTTAATGTTAAAGGTATGGTACAGCAAAGGTTAAAGGTTATCACATTTGTTTTAAAACCCAAAGAAGGGGCCACAGCCATATTTCTCCACACTTCAGTTTCATGGTTTTCTTTACTATGATTGATCAGACGGTTATGGTGGGGTGGAATCAGGGTGGTTGTTTGTAGGGTTGTACAGTTCCATGCTTAGATCTGACACAGGTTACTACTATCCTCGGAATGATCAGTGATCTATAAGAGTGCACAGACAAGTAACTAGTAGATACACTATATTGCCAAAAGTATTGGGACACCTGCCTTTGCACACACATGAACTTTATAGGCATCTCAGTCTTAGTCCGTATGGTTCAGTATTGAGTTGGCCCACCCTTTGTAGCTATAACAGCTTTACCTCTTCTGCGAAGGCTGTCCACAAGGTTTAGGAGTGTGTCTATGGGAATGAAAACAACCCCCCACACCATAATTCTCCCTCCACCAAACTTTACACTTGCCACAATGCACTCAGGCAAGTATCGTTCTCCTGGCAACCACCAAACCCAGACACATCCTTTGGATTGCCAGAGAACACATCTCCACTGCTCTAGAGTCCAGTGTCGGCATGATTTACACCACTTCATCCAACGCTTTGCATTGCACTTGGTGATGTAAGGCTTGGATGCAGCTGCTCGGCCATGGAAACCCATTCCATGAAGCTCTCTACACACTGTTGTGCTAATCTGAAGGACACACAAAGTTTGGAGGTCTTTAGCTATTGACTCTGCACACAGCTGGCGATTTCTGTGCACTGTGTGCTTCAGCATGTGCTGACCCAGCTCTGTCATTTTACGTGGCCTACCATTTCGTGTCTGAGTTGTTCCCATTTACTTTCACTTTGTTATAACACCACTAATAGTTGAGCGTGGAACATTTAGTGACAAGGAAATTTAACGGATGGACTTACAGCACATGTGGCAACCTATCACGGCACCACGATTGAATTTACTGAGCTCCTGAGAGCGATCCATTCTTTCACAAATGTTTGTAGAAGCAGTCTGCATGTCTAGATGCTTGATGTTATACACCTGTGGTGCCATGGAGGTGATTGAAACAGCTGCATCCAATGATTTGGCCCAATACTTTTGGAAATGTAGTGTGTGTATCTTTATGCTGGTAGGCATAAAGATCTCAGCAAGCAATAGAAGCAGGTCTCTAAAAAGCCATAGTCTCTATGACAAACCATGTGAGGTCAATCTGAGAGCCCAGCCCTGGCACTAAAAAAAATTACATACAAAATAAAAAGAACTTATTGCAAGTAATAACATGAATTCTGTGAGAAATGGAACAGTTATTTTTTATTTATTCAAAAACCTCCCATAGCACTGGATACATTTATAAATAATTTAAAAACCAGTAGAATTGTTAGAACCAAGACACTTTGTTACTGCTAGTGAAATTAGTGTCTGATATTTATAAAGCACCAACAATATATTCAACTCCATAAACACCCACTATTTGATATATAAGGGACTATAGCTCTAGATACACAATGCCTAGGTAATACTGCTTAAGCTGACCATACATGGATTGAAATTTATCCAGTGCAGCAAGGACCAGCCAAATTACAACCATGTATGGGCAGGGAGGTTGTACAGAAGTTGGTTTATTGTTCGACTTCTCTACAACCACCCTGTCGAATTCATACCGCTCGCTCAGCGCTGCAGGCTGTTCAGGGATGTCTCCCCGCTGTTGGAATACAATAGCTCTGTAGAGAGGATTCCCATCCACATCGAGTGTGTGAATGGGGGAATCAAGTCAGATTATTTTCATTCAACTCACTTGAATGAAAACAACCTGACTCATGTATGGTTGCCTTACATTCCATCATAAAGCTGGTTGCCCAATAGGCCAACTAGTATGTGTATGTGTTGTGTGTAAGGCCTGCCTTAGGATGCATTCTCATTATAATTTCTTGTCAACGTGCACAAAATTTCCTCCTGGGCATCAGACTACTGAAGCAGAGAAAGTATTTTGGACCTTAGTTCTGCTTAACATAATCCCACTTCTTCTTAGGCATTGGTGACGTAGCCCCAGCTTCACATATGTTCTCTGGGAATACTATGTACCTGGTGCCTTCCACTGAGATCTTTTTCCTAAACTGTAAGCCCTAGGGAAAAAAATTACATCCAAGATGAGTATAACATCATATGGTGCATGAATGAGATGAGGCACAGGACTGCACATGCCTCACTTCACGCATACACCATACCACAATACACTAATGTATTGAAAAAAAGATAGCCTTTCCCCTGATATCTTGCAAGCTCTTCAGGGGGTAAAGGCTTTTTACAAAGAGATAAGAGGAGAGTGGTATGGCACAAATGCTAAATTTTATATGTTGCATACGTGAGAGGAGGTGCATGATGTCATGTGTCTCATCTCATGTGCCATATGGCGTTATCTTTGAGATGATAAGCAAACATCATCGGTGGGTAGGCAGAGAAGAAAGAAGAAGAAGGCAAACACCATTGACAACAAAATGAGAGAAGATGGCAGTGCAGGTTTAAAGGAGGAAGAGAAAAGGTGCATTAGTTTGGAGACAAGAAAAAAATATGTTTTCTTTGCAGTTGCAGAATTGCATGATTGTAGTGCCATTATTTATTAATGGCACCCCAAATGCGGTGCCGTGATTTTCATGTGACTAAATGCACAAAAATGACAGCAAAACACCCAATGTCAAACAAGCCTGGCTCAGTGCCACAATGAGCTTCTTTGTTGGGTTTGTGGAGCAGAGGGAGGCCAATTCACAATGAATGGTGCCGCTTCAAAAGCATGCCACAAAAAAGTGCAAATAAACATGATGCTGCAGCTTCGCTCAAGTATGAGCGGAGCCTAAAGTGACTTGGGCAAACACAGCAACTGTGACAGAAAGTTTTCTTTTCACTTTTTTCTTTCCTCACAGTAGATTAATGCAATCTGCTGAAGTGAACTCTTGCTGAAGAAAAAAATATATCAGGGACTTAAAAGTTTTATTGAAGAGAAGGACCTCCAGGGTGGTTTCTCAGAAATACTACCTGTACCTCAAGCCACACCAGAGAGGCAGCAGGAAATTAGAGAACTTAACAAGTGGCTGAGGAACTGGTGCAGTAATGTGGGTTTTGGATTCCTGGAGAACCGAGCTGACTTTTCAGTTGGTTACCGGCTCTATAGCAGAGACGTACTGAACCTAAATGGGGACACTGCAGCTCTGTTGGAGGTACAAAATAGCCAAAAAGTTAGAGGGACTTTTAAACTAGGTACTTGGGGGGAAGGGAGCAGAGGACACGAAAGCCACCAACGAGCAAAGGTCTGAGGGTGACACTGTAAGCATTAGTGTAGTACCGGTATAACCAGTATACGAATCCAAAGGAAGATAGGCTGGCAGAACACAAGTGCAGAATATCTAAGTTTAAGCTAATATGCGCTCATACAAAGCTAAACTACCCAGATACTGACTGGGCAGAAGTCACTGCTCGCTCATTTAAGGCTCGCCATTTCTTAAATGTCTTGCAGGACAATTTTATATGTCAATTGGTGGATGCCCTGACTAGAAATAATGCATTGCTAGATCTACCTATTACAAATAACAGTTACAACACTTTTACAAATAACACAGCTGGTTGCAGAGGTTGAAATACGGGACAGTTTGAGTAGCAATGATCACATGGTAATTACATTCAAAGTAAACCATAGTAAAAGGAGGCACTAGGGTAGTACAAAAAACGAATTTCAGGAGAGCCAACTTCTCTAAACTGCACTCAATATTACTAGCCTTTAAATGGGATTGAATCCTAGAAACATTAAACACTGAGGAAAAATGAACATATTAAATAAAGGTATCATCAAGTGCATTTCAATGGGCAACAAATATAAAAGAGCTAAGGTTAAACCTGCATGGCTAAACTCCAATGTAACAAGGTTTATAAAACAAAAAAAAGACCTTTAAGAAATATAAGGGCGAGGGGTCAGTGTCGGCATTTCCAACATTACAAGCAATGCAATGAGAAGTCTAAGAGTTGCTAAAGAGAGGCCACGAGAGACACATAGAAGAGTAAAAAAATCCCAAGAAGTTTTTTAAATATACTAAGTGTAAGAAAGTGAGGTCAGAGCATATTGGCTCCATAAAAGATGAACAGGGGAAGCTGGTTACAAACGACAAGGGGAAGGCAAATGTACTTAATGCATTCCTTTCCTCAGTTTTTACAGAGGAAAAGGAGGGGTATATAACAACCATGACTGTATTGTTAGTAATATGTCACAGAATGTACCCTTGTGGCTAACAGAAGCCAGAGTCTGTAATAGACTTGAAAAACTTAACACAAATAAATCACCTGGACTGTATGGACTACAACAGACTGTCCTTAACCATTTGACGCCTGGCCTATGGCCGAATGGCGTCTGGAAAAATGTACTAGCTTTCCAGGAGGCCGCAATATGGCCTCCTCCCGCACATGCGCAGTTCGCGCGCTTGCAGAGCCGTGCAGCGGCGCGATCTGTCACCTGTGTACCTCGGACACGGCCGATGACAGATCTGAGTACCGGCCCCCGTTGCCGGTACCATGTGATCTGCTGTGACCAATCACAGCAGGTCACATGACAGTTGTATACAATGGATGGCTTCATTCATGCCATCCATTGTATACTAGTGTCTAGCTGTGAATGGTCACAGCTAATCATATGCACATGTCATATGATTAGCTGTGGCCAAATCACAGCTAAGCACAAAAAAAAAAAAACCCTGAATGAATCAATGTAATTCAGGTAAATGCTTGCTTATAGCAAAGTAATTCTTTGCTATAAGCAAATTGTGTAAAAAAAAACAAAAAAAAAAACAAATACTGATCTCTTCCCCAAAGTAGTACAATGTTACCATGGTAACATTGTACTACTTTGGACATAGTGAAATATGAAAAAAAATCTTTAAAAAATGTAATAAAAAATTTCAAATACTAAAAAAAATTAAAAAATATATATATTTTTTTTTTCACACTGTCACCAGTCAGTGTCCCTGATCACCGCCATGCCAGTTATATGATGATGCTGTACTGCACTGGTGACAGTATATAAAAAAAAAATTGTGAAAATAAATACAACTTCAGAAAACTCGCCATGCCTCTTATGAAATACGTCGGACTGTATATTTGCAAAAAGGGGTCATTTGGGGGATATCTGTACTATTCTAACATTCTGGGACCTCAAGAAATTAGATTGGCTGTCAGTACTTCAGGATTGATCAATATTCAGATCTATACCATAGTTTGTGAACTCTATAACCTTCCTACAAACTAAAAAATACATCCTAATTTGGGTTATTTTCACCAAAGACATGTAGCAGAATACATCTCGGCCTAAATTTATGAAGAACAATTATTTATTTGTAAACAGAAACAAAGAAAAACGTGTTTTTTTAAAAGAAATTTCAGTCTTTTTTTGTTAATTTAGCAAAAAATAAAAATCCCAGCGATGATTAAATACCACCAAAAGAAAGCTCTAGTTGTGTGAAGAAAATGATAACATTTTAGTTTGGGTACAATGTTGTATCACCGTGCCATTGTCATTCAAAGTGTGAGAGACCTGAAAAATGGCCTGGGCAGGAAGGTGTAAAATTGCCCGGTATTGAATTGGTTAAAGAACTTAGCCAGGTTATAGCCAGACCTTTATTCTGACCTTAATTTTTACGGACAGCTTGAAAGGTACCAGCTGGCTGGAGAAAGGCAAACATGGTACCAATATTTTAAAAAAGGCAGATATATATTCCTGCAAACTGTTCACTGTTCACTGTTTGCAGATTGTTAATAATCCCAGTTAATCATTACGATATTACTGTTTGCTAATGTTAAATCGTCAATCGCTACATAATATTTTTCCTTCCTGATATAACCCAGTATAACCTCTTCTTCTTCACACCAATTACAATATAATTAAATGATACTTAAACAGGTCTGTGTCATTTACTGGTGGATATGTGTTGCTGTATTTGGGGGTATTTTTACACACAGGTGTCTGAATCTATATCCTCAGCCCAACCAGGCATGTTAGAGAGTACAGAGCTGTTAACCGTACATCTAAAACAGTCTTTCTCAAACTTTTCCTCAAAGAGGAATCCTTTAAATAACTTTGAGCTCTCAGAGAACCCTTATAAATACAATTCATCATGGGTCAAATGAGAAAATGCTCCTTACATTGGGAGTCAGGAGGAAGAATGCAACTCTTACAGTAGTGGTAAGAATGCCACCCTTAAATACATGACAAGATTATTGGTGTCATTATGCTGGCTGTCTGGCCTTGTGATATTGGCGCTGGAGATATGCAGGCACCATCAAACAGGAAGTCAATCAGTTACAGCACAAGCACCCCTAGCAACCCCTGGAGGAACCTTTTATCTTTTAGATATAAGATATTTTTATTAAGTTTTACAACACATACAAAAATTAAAAGGTTACATGCAAGAAAAATTACCCTGAAAGGGGTAAACAAAAAAAGGTGGAGAAAGAAAATTCCCCCGATATAACAATAACACAGTTGCGTGTACAGTAAGCAGAGCATCCTGCATAACAAAGTTGGTGCTATCAATAACAGCCAAAAGTACCAAAGGGTAATACAGAGAGGGACAGGAAATAATCAGGTTTCTGGATCTGCAGAGGCAGCTGTATGAGGACTGCCTATCCAATGGCCCCATATATTTTCAAAGAGTTTAGGTAGTTTTTGAAGCTCATAGGTTAGTGTCTATACAATGGGAGGTTATTATTACCTAAGGCTTTCCAGGCCTCAAGCGACAATGGAGGAGCAACCTCCCAAAACATAAGGATGACCTTCTTTACATAGAAATATAGTATACGCAAGTGGCCATTTTTATCCGGCTTTACAAAAAGGATGTAGGCGGGGCAAGCAGCGTGACAGATCTCTCACAGTCCGCCTGAAGACCGGAACGGCGCGGGAACACGGCGAGAGGAAGCGCGGAGCAAAGGTAATGAATTGACACAATATGGGGAATGAATTACTATAATGGGGGATGAATTCTCCAATGGGGGATGAATTACTATGGGGGATGAATTACTATATGGGGGATGTATTTTCAGTTTTAAAAATGTATCAAAAGAGGCAAGCCCAGAGCAGTGGCTCAGGAAAGGTTCACCTCCGACCAGGCTAGGTAGAGACAATGGGGCAATTCCACATACAATGAAGAAAATCCGCAGTTGCTCCATAGCCATAAAAGCAGGCCGTCTTTTTTTCCCTCTGAGGAATCCAAGTGGCCTTTATGTCTTAAAGGTTCTGACCCCTGGGTATAAATGGGAGGTTACTGCTCGAATGAAGGCTTCAGACCAGGCCTCAAGCGACAATGGAGGAGCAACCTCCCAGAAGACATGGTGACCTTCATTTACATAGTTAATACTTGTGGCCATTTATTATATTTAGAAAGGTGCCAGATCTGGCTCAGAACATTCTTAGGGTGTACGAAATCTGTAAGCCCAGAAAGTGGAGAGGAAAGTGTTCACCTCCGACCAGGAGTGAGAGAAGCAATTCCTCATACAATGAAGGAGCATTTTAAAAGCAGGCCGGTGAGGAATTCAAGCCAGTCTATGTAGTCTGACCTGGGTTCTGCTCGAATTCAGACCAATCTGGTCCTCAAGACGAAGATCTGGTGTAGTCCATTTCAGTTAATCAGCATGGGCCTTCGTACACAGTTTTTAGGTAGTAATCAGAAATTAGATAATTGGGACCTGAGGAGTGAAGAAGTTTCTCTAAAGGGGACATGCAGATGGATTTTGTTAAAGAGCCAAATTGTTTCTGAACAGCATGTTGTAATTGGTAGTAAAAAAAACAAGTGGGTATCCAGAAATTGAAAGTCAGCTTGTAGTTGGAAAACGATTTAAAGCATAAGTTCACCTTGGGGAACTTATTACACATTCCCCCCATTTTTAGGGTGAAACATGTAACATGTTCCCACCGCAGCCCTATCCCCTTCCTCCCTGTGACAGCAGTACGGGGAGAAGTTCCCCATACTAGCTGTCACTATTTAAAAACAGCACAACTGGCTCCACCGACACGGCTGTGTCTTTCATTTGCAGAGTTCTGTGAATGAATTTACTATAAGTCCCAACTGCCTTAGCGGCTGTTGGCTTGTAGTTCTCAATGAACTACAGCGCCGTGGTAGTTCCTTGAATCTTCCTGTCAGTATATTTGCTTGTCCTGTACATCCTGTACGGACAAGCAGATATACTGACAGGTCTGCAGGAGACCTGCATGGCAACAGCAATCTGCTAATCACTGGTGCAATGCTTTCCAGACTCCTGCAAGCAAAAACAATAAATGTACATTTTTTTACCTGTAGAAAAATGTGCATTTATTATTTTTGGTCAAAAGGTGAAATTATCCTTTAAAGTGGTGGTAATCTATTTTTTAACTTTTACCTACAGGTAATCTTATATTAAAGCTTACCTGTAGGCAAAATTAATACCTCTTACACATGCACCATTTAGGAGATATTTGGTCTTTTGTAGAGTTGGCGCACACGCTCTGAAGGAACAACATACCTGTGCTGTTCCTTCAAAGTACTGTGCTGTGGCCCGGGATTCCTGGACGCATGCGCAGCAGTTATGTCATCACGGCTTGGCCAGGCAGATGGCCGGAGCTTGCGATTCCTGACGGAAGACCAGGTGAAGATGGAAGCCTCTGAAGCTATGACATCACGCCGCTGGAGGGCTTCATTTAAAGGTAAGTCCTTCATAATATGCTAGTTTGTGATGCATACTAGCATATTATGACATTACCTTGCAGGGGATTTTTTTTTTTACCAGCGGTTTACTACCGCTTACACGTCTTACCTACATAAAGTTGGTGTTGATATTTAACCCCCCCTAACAGACCAAAGTTGGAGGTACGGGGTGGAAATAAATTCTGAAAGAGTGGGATTATGGCAGAGTGGGGTATTCAGAAAGGTGTGCCAGGTAGATTCTTGAAAACATTTTTGAGTTTTGGGCAAAAACATAACAGGGTGACTTCAGAGCTGGGAACCTCATGTCTATATGCTAGATTATGTAATGTTTCATAGTAAGACATAGTAAGACACCGAAATAAAAACGTTCGATGGCATACTAATAGCAAAAAGGTAATTCCAGCTTTCTTTTGTCTAATTCAGGTAAAAGCAGGCATCTGATAGGTTCCTATGGACAATACCCCCCATGTTCCCTTCATTTGATGACAACTCAGCCTCAGTGTCCTCCTATTGCCCTCCAGCAGGAGCTCATGCTGCCTAATGGAGAAGCCAGGAATATGGAGCAAGCTGATGATATCATTAGAAATTACAGACCAAGAACAACATTTTACAGTCTTCATATTCCCTCTTCCAGCTAACTACAGTGAGATAAAGGCCAGTTCAGGGCAGCCCATGTAAACAGTCTGACCATGTATCTGTCAATATTATCTCATGTAGCATGCTGTCCGATATATCATCTGTTTCCTTTCTTCTCCAAGTGAAATCACTGCTCTATGCAATAACAGCTCAGCTAAAGTGCGAGTGACTATAGGAGACCAATACCAAGGCAACGGTCAGGACTTCCAGAGCTGCACAGGGATCAGCCAGATGGTTGTTTTTCTTTTTCTATTGTTTAACATCATCTGAAGATAGAATTTCATAGACTATTCTGCCAGGACCTACAGGTGACGTGAGAGGCACTCCTCTCCTTGCTGATTTCTCTGGCTTTTCCCTGAAACTTTGTTCGTTATTGTAAAACAAAATTAACATCAAACTAAAATGCATCTGACGTCTGTATAAACAAAGATGATCCAAATGCCTCATTGAGATCTATTTTGGTTGACTGAAGAACCGTACGAGTATTTTTTTTTTTTTTTTTACTGGAAGTGTACCTGGTTTACAATTGAATAGGACTTAAAGCCCAAATCCAATTTCTTTAAAAACGTACAATAAAATTGCCCAAAGCTCCTTAAAATATAGAGCAGCCCTAGCAGCAATACTCACCTCCTACCTGGTGCTGTCCCTTGTACATACCTCCCAATTTTCTGAGATGGGAATTAGGGACACCTATTAGCAAATGTATGTAGGTATAGGATACACCCCCTGCCATACCCCCATAAAGGAGAATTATCACAAAAAAAAAAAGGTTAAAGCCACAAGTGTTTTTTTTTTTTCAACTATTATTCTTTTGTACTGGCTTTTAAAGTTTGCAAATGTAGTTTAGAAACTGGATGAAAGATTTAGCACCGTGAAACACTTTTTGAAAGATTAATAGTGCATTTTATATGCAGCTATATAGATCAGACCAAAATGAGGGACAAATGAGGAGGAAAGAGGGACTTTGTTCTAAATCAGGGACAGACCCTCAGAATCAGGGACAGTTGGGAGGTATGCTTGTAGACTCACTGGGCTTTTTTTTACTGAAGCTGGAGGGTGCAAAATCAGGCTCACTTCTGCAGCTTCTAACCTCAGCTTGTTCAATGAAAGTGCTAGTAAACTATGTTATATGTTTCACCCGTTTTTAGGGTGGAACATGTAACATGTTCCCAATGGTGCAGCTGCTGCCCTCTGCCCCCCTGACAGAAGTATTGAGAGAAGTTCCCCATACTAGCTGCCACTTTTTAAAAACAGTGAAGCCATTGTTCTGTGAATGAATGAACTACAAGTCCCGACAGCCTTAGCGCCTGTTGACTTGTGGTTCTTGATGAACTACCAGGGCACTGTGGAGCATCGTGGTAGTTCATTGAATCTTTCTGTCAGTATATCTGCTTGCCCGTACATCCTGTACAGTCAAGCAAATATACTGACAGGTCTGCAGGAGACCTGCATGGCACTGGCAATCTGCTGATCGCTGTGCAATGCTTTACTGGCTCCTGTAACCAAAAATATTAAATGCACATTTTTTTACCTGTAAAAAAATGTGCATTGATTATTTTTGGTCAGAAGGTGAACTTATCCTTTAAAGAGCCACCAGGAGGTGTCAAGAAGGGGTTAAAAAGCAGCCTTTATTTTTGTTTTGTTTTTTAAACTCCACCCCATCTCCAAAAGAGATAGCCAGCTCCAGATGACATCAGAGAGGAGGATGGTGTCCCAGGACCCAGTCTTTGGCAGCAGAGAGGGGGAGTCCAGAAGAACAAAGCCAGATTCGCTGGGAGAGTGATTATGCTAATTCAGGATAAAAGGTATGAAGAGAGTGAAAAACAAAAAACCACAGAGGGACACAAGGGAAAGAAGTTCCTTTTTACTGGAAACCTGCATTGAAAGACTGCCAAGTAAATGAGATTACATTTCCACCAACAGTCTTTACTCTCAAAGTCGTATAAAGTGCCGGCATTCCCTGACTGCCCATAATATCATGAAAAGGGAAAGGGGATGCTTGCTTTGATTTAAAATCCTAATTAATTTCAATTTTTTTTTTTGGAGCTGTCTCTCCACAGAGTCAGGGGTGTATTCAGATTCTGGATCATGATAATAAAATTGAGTAGATAAGGATCACTTGAGAACACAATATTCATGCTATTGCAGTTTAGTGAAACTCTAGCACAGTTTCCATTAGTACATATTTAAGTTATTATTCTAAAGTAATTTTTAGAATTAAATTTAGTATTAGCAATGTGACTTTTCCATTTTTATTGCTTTTGGTTACAATGACTGCCAGACTCATAGGCTTGCTCTGAGAAGAGCAGAGAAGAATAAATAGTATTCAGTACTACTAAGCAGGAAACAGGACCTACATATGTATTAAGATAATATGGCCGCTAGCACCATATTTATATTACAAACTATACACAGAAATAAAGTTTTTCTCATTGTTCATCAACGGCCACAGTATCCAACCTCAAGGTATACACACTTGCCTCTAGTCTAGGAGATTTTAAACTAAGCCGAAAGAGTAACTTCACTTCCGTGGAAAAAATATAACAAAATAAAGTACAAATAATATAGAACATACAGTTGCTAAACAAGCCATGTTGTAAATTATTGTTATCAAAAATTACCTTTTCATTTCAATCCACAGCATGGTCATTTTCTGTAAAATTCATTGCAATACAGCAAGAGTCTCCAAACTTCCTAACCAAAGAACCAGTTTACTGTCCTTCAGGCTTTGGGGGATGCACTGTAGTCAGTGGTAGAAGAAAATGCCCCAGCATCAGCGGCAGTAATTGATGTCTCAGGCTTGGTGGTCAGTGGGAAAAAAATATTACAGCACCTGTGCTCAGTAGGAGGAGGAATAGTGCCCCATCACTGGTGTTAGTGGAAAGGATTGTGCCCCACTATTGATGTAAGTGGGAAGGTATGGTACCCCACTGTTGGTGTCAGTGAAAGGAATAGCGTCCGACTGGTGATGTCAGGGTGGGGAATGATCCCCCACTGTTGCTCTCAGTGGGAGGAATAATGCCTGACTGTTGCTGTCAGTGGGAGGAATGGTGCCTGTGCCCCACTGTTGGTGGGAATGGTGCCTCACCATTGACGTTAAAATAGTGCCTTGTATTAGTGCCCAGAGTAGTACCCCAAGGGCTGGATAAAGGCAAGCGAAGGGCTGAATCTGGCCAGTGGGTCACAGTTTGGAGACCATTGCAATGTGGCACCCTGGAGGCATTCTGTACAGAACACCCCCAGAAATGTAATTTCCTGCTTGTGTGATCAGCTCACTAAATTTCCAGATATTTACTGAAGCTTTGTCTCACAACAACTGGGAAGTAGTCTGTGTAGGAAGCCGGAGCCATGTCCCATTGGGCAAGGGTATGGGTACGTGTTCCTGCTTGGCCATGTTGAATCATCAGTATGAAATTCTGAGGCATCCTTGGTATATATTATAAAACAGAGCCATATCTGAAGCCATGAACTCAGAGCAGTTCATCAAGGTTCTGAGTATCCACTCTCAGAGCAAGCTGTCAGGAGAGTGCTGCGAGTAAAGGGGATGGACAGGAGAAGAAAGGAATATAAAGCCAAAATATTTAGGGTGACATTGACAACAACATTAAATAGGATCTTGGCCCTCATGCCCACCATGCTCACTCTATGCATGGTAAACAATCATAGTCGCAAATCAATTAAAGGAGTACTAAAGTCACACTTACTACATTAAATATTAATAAAAAAAAACATTAAACACTGACTGAAAACACTGTATTAGTATTGTTGAAATATATTTTCCTTACTTTGAAAGTGTGTGCATATCTTCAGTCATATCTGTATCTGCAGCTGCTGTTCTTCAGTACTCCCTGCAGAGGGAGTGACATATAAACTTCCTGTTGATTGCAAAACTGAAAGAACACATCCCTGGATACCCATGTTCCAGGGAGGGAGATGACCACTGAAATTTATCTTGCAGCCTGTTTGTCAGTTGCTTGATTACCTTCCCTCATACCTGCTTCTGGTACAGTAGTCAACCATAAATGATTATCACAACACAGCTAAATTATGCACCATCCAGGGCCTCCAGGGAGGAACATACTCATCTATAGGGATGTCAGGAATGTGTTCTTTCACTCAAACTCTTCATTCTTCATTACATACACTCTCTGCTCTAAGCTTATCTGAATGGGTGGCTACAAAAGGAGATATTGAGAAAGCAGAATGAAACGTAGACACAGGCATACAGAAAATGGATGCAGATGGAGATATCTGAGGTGATTATGAGGATTTAATGCACAGAGAATTTTATAGGGACAGGATAGAATAATTGAAACTTGAAGCATATGTGTATTTTTTTCTGGGGGGGGGGGGGGGGGGGCTTTAGTTACACTTTCACACACTGCATTTACACAAATGTTGTCTAAATACATAAAACATAAAAGCAGGGGAAATATTTTTTTTTAATTTACAAGTTTAATGTTCGTAGTAGTAGATTTTGTGAATAGCCACCCAGGAGAAAACATAAGAAACGCAAGTTATAAATCTTTAATACTGCAAAAAATGGTGATGCCAGCATTGAATGGAACGGAGTGTTCAGTGCTATACCACAGACATCTGCTTTGTTCGCAGAAAGTACGTTACATTCATTTTGAATTCTACCTAAAAGTATACAAATGATAATCACAACTAACCATTACCATAGCACAGGCAAGAGAGTGCCTCAGTTTTCATCCCAATGTTTATTTCCACTACTGGTCTTGTTGACCACCGATGAAATGAAATCCTCGAACAGAGCAGAGACAAGCTTGTAATCACAATCCTGTTTAATCTGGCTCTGCTTCCCCAAGGAACTCTATAAGAAATGCGGACAGATTTAACCACAAGCCTACAGGGCACTTATACCCCCTTCCTGCCCGGCCAATTTCCAGCTTTCAGCGCTGTTGCACTTTGAATGACAATTGCGCGGTCATGCAACACTGTACCCATATGACATTTTTATAATGTTTTTGTGACAGATAGAGCTTTATTTTGGTGGTATTTAATCACCTCTGGGTTTTTTTATTTTTTTCTTAAACAAACCAAAAACCACTGAAAAGTTTGAAAAAAAAAGTTTTTCTTAGTTTTTGTTATAAAATGTTGTAAATAAGTGATTTTTCTCCTTCACTGATGTGCGCTAATGAAGCTGCAGTGATGGGCACTGATAGGCTGCACTGATGGACACTGATAGGTGGCACTGATGGGCACTGATGAGGAGGCACTGGCAAGTGGCACTGATGGGTATTGACAGGCATCACTGATGGGCACTGAAAGGCAGCACTGATATATGGCACTGATAGGTGGCACTGACTGGCACTGATAGGCGGCACTGACTGGCACTGTTAGGTTGGCACTGACAGGCACTGATAGGCGGCACTGACGGGCACTGATAGGCGGCACTGATGCGCACTGATAGGTAGGCACTGATTGGCAGCACTGATAGGTGGCACTGATTTTCATTGATAAGTGGCACTGACTGGCACTGATGGGTGACACTGAAAGACAGCTCAGATGGGCACTGATATGTGGCATTGATGTGCACTGGTAGGCACTGATATGTGGCATTGATGTGGCACTGATGGGCACTGGCAGGTGGCATGGATGAGCACTGAGAGCTGGCACTGATGGACACTGACAGGTGGCGCTGCTGGGGCTACACAGATCATCAGGGCATGCTGATCATCAGTGCTCTGATGATCTGTGTACATGTCCCCTCCACGGAATGCTGATTACCGGCTCTCCTCTCCTCTCGAGCTGTCAGCGTGACAGCTCGTGAGGAGAGAAATGCCGATAAACGGCATTTCCCTGTTTACATGTGATCAGCTGTGATTGGACACAGCTGATCACATGACCGAGCTGACATCTTCGGCTCTTTCCGTGGATCGGTGATCCGCTGTGTCCCTCTGGGAGGTTAGAATGGGAGGACGTCATATGAAGTCCTCCGAGAACGAGAGAACCACCTTGCGTCCATCATATTACTATATGGCAGGCGGGAGGTGGTTAATATGTTATTCAAGGGCCTTTTCCCACTAGGTGAACTGGGACTGTGCTGGACACCGCTGCATGGTGCAATCCCAAGTCTTGTTCCCTATGGGTCCAGTTTACACCATTGCTCTGTGGTAGTGTGCACTGAAAAAGTACAACAGTTGGGAGACTAGATAGTTTACAACCACATATTTGACAACCACATTTATTAGATCGACACAATTCGTGATGAGATCTCCAGTGTCAAACTTCCTCCTCTAACGAACATACCAGGCCCAACACCAAACTCTACACTCTCCTCCTTTGACTGTTACCGAACTCCTTTTCCAAGGCCCACTTCACCACCTGTCCCCTGGATTCTGTCCCCTAACGACTGTTGCAGCCTCCTTCCTGCTCTATCCTAAACTCTCTAACCCACCACTTTCCATGGGCACCTTTCCCTCCCCACTCAAACATGCACTGGTTACCCCCATCCTCAAAAAACCCTCGCTGGACCCCACCTGTTTGAATAACTTAAGACCCATCTCCCTGCTCCCGTTTGCCTTCAAGCTTCTCGAGCGCCTTGTTCACAACCGTATGGACTGCTACCTCACCAACAACAACCTTCTTGATCCCCGACAGTCTGGCTTCCGCCCACAACATTCCACAGAAACTACCCTACTAAAACTCACTAATGGCCTACTAACTGCTAAAACCATTGGCCATTACTCCATACTCATACTCCTTGACCTTTCCGCTGCCTTTGACACAGTCGACCACCCACTCCTCCTCAGTTAACTCCACTCCATCGGCCTCCATGACTCTGCTCTCTCCTGGTTCTCCTCTTACCTTTCTCAGCGCACTTTCAGTGTCACATACAACTCCTCCTCCTCCGCTCCACTTCCTCTTTCAGTTGGGGTACCCAAGGTTCTGTTCTTGGGCCCCTCCTTTTCTCTCTCTATACCTCTTCCCTGGGCCAACTGATAACCTTCCATGGCTTCCAATACCACCTCTATGCTGATGACACCCAGATCTATCTCTCCACTCCCTAGCTCACCCCCTCAATCTCCTCACGTATCACAAATCTACTAAGCAACATATCAGCATGGATGTCACATCACTACCTTAATCTCAATCTTTCAAAAACTGAGCTTGTAATATTTCCTCCTCCCTGATCCCCCACTCACGACTTTACCATTAAGATCAACAGCACAACCATTGGTCCTTCCCTTCATGCCAGGGTGCTAGGCGTAATCCTAGACTCTGACCTCTCCTTTGGGCCCCACATCCACTCACTGGCTAAATCCTGCCGCCTCAACCTCCGGAACATTTCCAAAATCCACCCCTTCCTGACCAATGACACCACAAAACAACTAATCCACGCCTTGGTTATATCCCGCCTCGATTACTGCAACTCCCTCCTCACTGGTCTACCGTTACACAGGCTATCCCCCCTTCAGTCTATTATGAATGCTGCTGCTAGACTCATTCACCTTACCAACCGATCAGCGACTGCTGACCCTCTCTGCCAATCCCTCCACTGGCTTCCACTAACCCAACGTATAAAATTCAAAAGACTAACCACAGCTTACAAAGCCATCCACAACAGTGCCCGTAGCTACATTACCAACCTCATCCAACTGCCCAAATCGCCCACTCCGCTCCTCCCATGATATCCTCCTCTCTAGCTCCCTCATCACCTCCTCCCACGCTCAGCTCCAGGACTTCTCCAGAGCCTCTTCCATTCTCTGGAACTCCCTACCACAGCATGTCCGGTCAGCCCCCACCCTGTCTGCCTTTAGGCGATCTTTGAAAACTCACTTCTTCAGGGAAGCCTACTCAACCTCCACCTAAGAACTGTACTTGAATCACCTCTGCCAGATCATCCTCTGCAGCTATCACCTTTTGTATCACCTCCCCCTTCCTTTAGATTGTAAGTTCCACGAGCAGGGCCCTCATATTCCTTCTGTACTGAAAGTATTGTAATTGTATTGTCTCCCTTATATTGTAAAGCGCTGCGCAAACTGGTGGCGCAATATAAATCCTGTATAATAATAATAATAATTAGAGGTACCTTAACCCGACAGTGTGGCTTCCACCTATATTTGCCAATGTATGCAACCTAACCTGAGGAGTCGAAACTGATCTTTTTTTTTTTTTGTCTGGTTAGCTTGAAAGTTTGCCGTTTCCTTTTGTAGGGTCTTTGAGCCGATTCACACCACTCAGGTCAGTTGCAGAATGTTTGTGGGTTATGCAGCACATTGATGTATGTTGTATCAGGCAGCCTGTCATTCCAATGGGCTGCCTAATACACCACATTGGACTAAAAGGAATTTTCAGCAGTTGCACTGCAATGCATGTTTGTTGATGACCACATATTGCCTCTTACTGGGAAGGTGTGTAGGGATGCAAATCAAAATGGAAGTGGAAAGCTCTCTAAAGTGAGGGAAATCAGAATCAAGGTAAAGTGTGTTACTGTGCACTGATGTAACATTTGGGGTAATGCGCACATGTGGTGCACTTCTGTGATTGGGCTCTGTAGCTTAAGCTTGCGATAGATGGTTTGAACCTTGGCCTGTTCAGTAAGGACCGGCCGAGATTCGAACCATCTATGGGCAGGCTGATTGTATCCAATTTGATCCGTCGATCGGCTATGGCACAACTAGCATGTCAGATTTTTACATGAGATTATTGCCAGCGGCTATAGCCACTAGTAGTAATTATTGTTTTCACCCAGCAGAGATGGCTCCCAGTGACCCCTCTTTGGGAGAACACAATAGTTCAGCGTGAGGGATTCCCCCATCAACACTGACTGTGTTGATGGGAGAATCAAGCGATTTTCTATCCTGCAATCACAGGTTGCAAGAAAATCGCATCATCTATGATCTGCCTTATAAAAAGCACTTGAGAGCACTCTACTGAGCATACATTCAACATGCTTAAAGTATTACTAAACCCAGGACCCTGCATTCACTATATCTGGTCTCCCACACTACACACAAAATGGAAATACAATTATATTAGTAAATATAAACTGTTAAATACCTTTTTCATCAGCAGTTTGAGCAGTCTTATGACTTCTATCAGCCAGCTAAGCACTGGTTAAATCTTGTAAGAGTACTTTTCATTCTGCCCTGACTATCCTAGGAGGCTGCATGAACCCTGACCCTCTGTCTGGACAGTGCTGATTGGCCCTGTGCTGATCTCATGCACCCTCCCAAAGAAAAAAAAAAACTCTTTAGCAATACACACTAAACTGAGCATGTGCAGAGTGACTCCTAGAGCTCTGTACTATCAGCACATGGATTGGGGACTGTGGAAGAAGTAGAGGATCAGAGAATACAGAATCAAACAGTCTTTTTACACACTGTGGAAGATTAGCCCCTTAGGTTCCAGAGTGAGCATAACAAGCATGTTTTACTGCATATACAGACTGGTTTTACTGTTGTGTGGATTTAGTAACACTTTATTGGTCTCAAATGACCAATCATGGGTGTTCGTTCTTTTCAGATACCGCACTGCATACATATGCATATATGGAATCTGATTGGTGCTTCCATATTCAGCACCCTTATAAAGGGATGTTGGACAGTAGTGTTTGTTTTTCTGTGACGCAGAAAGTACCAGGAAGAATGAGGCTCCACCTGTTACTGAGGTAGAAGAGAGAATCCATGATGGGTGAAACAGAGCCAGGATATCAACTTGCTATTGTACTCCCTGAGTCTTTAAAGTAGAACTTTATTCAAAAAATGAAGTCCTTCTAGGACACTTCATGGTGGCCCTTTTTGCAGGTATAGCTATGTAAAACGTTAAAAAGAAGAGCTTGTACTGTTTAAAATCCAGTAATGCACTGTTCCACTCTATTCTGCACATGCTCTGTTGCACTCTATTTTTTGGCACTGTGATGAAAATCAGTCACTAGAGGTCGAACCTGCGGACAGCCTAAAGATTTACTGTTGCTCAGGGCTCTGGGCTTCAGCAAAATGGCAGCCTCCAGAATGAAGAAACAGGAGCAATGCTGGAGGCAATTTACAGCACACACTGATTTTGGGGGAGCATGATTCTTTATGTGGAATGTACGTTCCTTGCTAGATAACATTACTTTTTATCAAGTTCCGCTATAAGGTTTAAAGATGGCAGAGGGGACTTCAGGCCACCGCTGAAAATATGCTTTGGTTGGAAAGAGTCTGCTTTGATGAAATTTTTTGCAAAGAAAATTGAACACGACACACAAAAACCCTTCGCCGTGTGGGGTGTCACAATCAGTATCGGCTCTCACCACACAGAATTGTATTTCTAGCGTGGATCGAGAGAAGCAGACGGCACCTTTTTTTTTCATTTTCCCTTGAACGTATCATATTCTGTATTGACAGCAGAACATTCTTACCATCTGTCAGCAGATTCATTTATTTCAATAAGATGTTAAAACAAACTTACTGGGCTAGATTTTCCCTTCACATCAACTCAGATCTCCAAAAATGTGTATGAAATGGCTCAAAAAATTATATGTAGCCAAATATACAGGAGTGATGACACAAACAAATAATCTGAGAGGACCATTGCAGGAGTCTACCTCGGAATAATACATACCATCTGAATAGCAATGTTTGAAACAATTTAAAGGACTGTATAGAGTATTTTTCATTCTAATGTCCAGGGCTGACAGAAAATCGTGTCTACCATTTGCAGCCAGTAGGTGGAAAGCTTCCAGCATGAGCACCTGCTCTTTTGATGATCAGATAACAGCTGATCTTGTGAAAAATAGATCTGAATGCCACGCAGATCAGATTACATACAATGCAAAATGACTCACAAAAGAGGAACAAACTAGTTTCTTGTTTTCCTGGAGTTCAGCTGTAACAACAAGTTGACAATAGTAGCTGCCACTGTTCTAGCTTTACAGGTTCCCTTTTAGAGCAGTATCACTTGGGCACTTGACAACATA